GTCAGCTTTCTGTGCAACTCGAAGACGTGCGAGTTGAGATTAAAGATCAGATCCAGTTGTACACTCCCAACCACATGCTGACACACCCTCTGGTTTCACCAGCTCTGCAGCCAACACTTGGGGGCTTGCCGCCTTTATTGATTCAGACCGGAGGTGGTGAGTTGCTTAGAGATGAGCAGATCTACCTTGCCCACAAAGCTGCACAACCACTCGCCTACATACCACCGCCGTCCAACAACCAAACTGCCGAGGAAATCCAGGCTCAAGTGGCCAACTACAAACCAACCAATGTCCAACTCCAAGTCTGGGATGACTTGTGCCATGTGTGCCCTACTCTCAGCTTTACACGACCAGCCAAACACATGTATCGCAGCATTGCTCAGTTCGGCGCCTGGGCACTTGCGCGTGCTCAAAAGAAGTCCATTGACATACTTGACGACGACGAGATTTCCTATCTGAGCAGTGATTCGAGCGCTTCATCAGAATCAGAAAGAGCTGGCCCCAATGTTTCATCCAATGGTGCAAACACACCGAATGCGAATTCTCCACAGAATGATTCGACAACTGAAAAGAAGGGACAGGCGGAAGCCCGCGTCGGCAGAGCTGGTGACCCGATTCCGCCTTTTGAAAATCATATGATTCGTCAGCGCGTCGACCGACATGGGCGGATCTATCCACTCGCCGCCAAGGAAGACCTCCCTGCTCTTAATATTCCCAGCAATGATGTTGGCGTGCCAAAAACCGGTCCTGTAAGCAAGTGGATGAAGGCACAGTCACAGTGGAACTCGAAGTTTGCAAAACAAAAGATCAAGATCCAGAAACAGAGGGTCGAGGATATGCGAAGAGGTTTCGAGGGCTTTGATGGGGAAACGCCACCCCCTACAGCGCTTGCTGGAAGACGGGTCAAGGGTATGAAGAATGAAAAGGCGAAGAAGAAGAGTTGGGGTATGTCGATGTGGTCTATCTGGGGTAGTTCCCATGACCAAGCTACCGTAAGTCAGCATATCACTGAATGGCGTGATATATACCTTTGGCTGACGGATACAGATTGTGCGAGAAGGAAAAGCAGAGCAGGGCACTGCCGAGCCAACAGATACTGTGCAAGCTCCACAGCCCTCAGATACAGATGGTGCAGCGGAAAGCAAGTCCAAGCGAAGTCGTGGAACTGGACTATCTATGCCGAATTTCGGACGCGCAAGGTCACGCTCTCGTGTTTCGGCTGTTACCGATCGAGGCCAGGCTGATATGGATATGGATGATTTATCCCAGATGGACCTACCAAAACCCGGGCTTGCCGACGCAACAAGACTGGCACCTGAGCGTGCTGCCTCGGGCTTGCCATCGCTCACTGTTGAACAAGACAACCAGACCTCCATGCCGAATGTCATAGCCTCAGACAACCCTGCATTACCCAGTACTATCATTCCCAGTACTGATACCTTGACGACACGCCCTACAGCGGGTGGCATCGCGTATCCATTCCGTCTCAAGGTCGATGGAGCAGAAGGAAGGGATGTCAATGCTAGCACGGTTACACTTGCCAGTGTAAACATTACTACACCCTCGGCTCGAGATTCAAACGAATTTGAGAAACAGCTTGGGAATCCAGCATCGATTTCTGAGACCATGAATGATCAAGTGCAGAAGGAACAAGCCAAAGGAAGTAAGCACAGTTCAAGCACCGGAAAAGGGGCAGGGCTATTCAGCGATGGAGTTGACGAACCAGAGTCTGATGAGGAAAAGAAGGTGGAGCGCCCTCCTGTAGAGAGATTTGAGACCGCAAAGGAAGATCTCAGCACCCTCGCTGCAGGCGACGCGAAGTCGTAATGGTAGGCTGAAAACGGAGTTGGTCGGAGTAAAAATGGTTAAGTGTGCGACATGTAGATACCCCATCGCGAGATATTCATAATACTGATATAAGAAACCATTGTTATCAAGATTTTGAAAGCTTCTAATTGTCTTTTAGACTTTCTGCTCCGCCATCCACTTTTCCGCTTCTTCCTTGTACTCTGGACGCCATCTTGTCAACGGCGGTCGTCCATTGATGATATCACCCACACTCCACAGCATACGCTTCTTATCCGTCTCTTCAGATACCTGACCATCTGGACAAACGATATAAAACTTGCCATCCTTCATCTTCTCATACATGTACTCCGCCACTTGATCCGGAGACCACGCCCCCTCTGGCACCGGTGCATCACTACCCGGCACCTTTCCAGCCTAACCACCCTATCATCAGCAATCACACGTCTCAAAAAGAGCATTCCTCACTCAAAAGGGAGCAAATCCGAAACTCACCAACGGCGTAAACGTCCACCCCGGAACCAACAAATGCACACCAACACCCGTATCCTTGAGATCAAAACTCAAATGCTCGGCGAGCGTCTTAACCGCTGCTTTACTAGCATTATACGCCGCGTTACCCGGCGGATTCGTAATCCCCTGTTTACTCCCAGTAATCACAATCGCCTTCTCGGCCCCCTCCTTCTCCCGCATCACCGGCACAAACGCATTCAGCCCATTCACCACGCCCCCCAGATTCGTACTGAGAATACTATCGAAATACTCGGCATCGCCCCATGTGCCTTTTCCCGAAATACCGGCGTTTAGCACGAGGAGGTCGATGTCGGATCCGATGCGCTGTTTGAGGGAGACCCAGTCGGAGCGCGATGTTACGTCTGCGGCTATGCAGGTTAGATTTCCGGAGAGCGAGGTCGAGGCTTGGGAGAGGAGGGTTTCGTTGGTGTCGGTTATCGTGACGCGCATTGAGTGTGAGAGGCAGAGGCGCGCGATGGCGTGGCCGATGCCCGAGGCGCCGCCGGTTATGAGGGCGTGGGCTGAGGGGCGGAAGGCGGACATTTTGTTTCTTTGAAGGAGGATTGAGATTTTTTCTGGTGAGGAATTGAGGGGATGTTAAATAAGGAATTGGAATGTGGGGTAGTGGTGTATTGGGAGGGGTGATGTACGTACTTTAGGTCGGGGTTAAGTTATCTCCGTTGGAAATGGCATTTTGATGCCCGTATAAATACTGCTTGCGGAATGGATGGTTGCGAGGTACTGGTATGTATGTTTCGGTCCTATTTTACTTAGTAACTCAGGGAATGTACCTCGGTTCTAAATACATGTGGTAGGCATGCTTGGCTTGTCAATCCTGCCTTGCTGTAATCAATTTTGCTTGTTATCGATACTCGATATCTACTAGTACCCCTCGTTTTAGCCACTACGTTCTCAAAGTCCATTCGACTATCCATAATTAAGTACAATGTAGTAGAACAAGCAACTTGCGTTAGATCTTATACACAGGTGTATATATGCATATAAACTCTAAAATTTAGACTTAATAGTTGCGTAAACACTTCTTTTAGCCATCGTGTGAAGCTGAAGATTGTCACACAAGGTCCAAACCACTTTCAATAATTATCCTTCTTTTCTTACAATCACAATGTCTTCTTCTCTACATCTCCCACAATATGGATGACAGTACGCCCTCGAAGAGGATAGATGAGCTCATACTAAGTCATTGTTACTGAGCATGTATCCAAGATTATGCTGTAGACGACTTGCCATTGAAATGAGATTTGGTGCAAACAATCCAAATATCGCTTTTAAAAATTAATGAGACCTCACTCAGAATAGTGTACTTGAACAATCTACTCTACTATTACATATTCCAGTACTATAGAAGAATTCGTTAATGAGCAAGTATGGTAAAGGTAGAGGATCTGCAGAGGAAATCTAGAACTCATCAACATCATTATTCCTTTTATTAGTTTTTTCTTATTGCGTAACTCCATTTACAATCTCTCCTCAGCCCTAAATCTCTCCGAGCTTTTACGTAATAGTGATGAGTACAGTCACTACATACCGCTAGAGTTTCTGTTTCCGGAACATCTACCTATGATAAGAGCTAACCTTACCAGGGCTGTCATACCATAGAAGCATTCAACTACCCACTACGATGCGTAAACGATAGTATCTGTACACATTTATTTTATATAGTAAGTTGCAATAATATTTGTTTCACAAGTCCTCGTTTCTATCTCCCTGAAGTGTATGATCTTACGTTAAGTTAGTTATAACCGTAAAGCTACACGCCTGCTTTGCGCGCCAAGACTCCCAGGTTATGTGTTAAATATGCTTACGCAGCGCCGCGCTACTAAAACTTAGTTTCACCGAGAAAATAGCAGAGAAATAGGGATCGTCAAGTGTTGGTAGTTGTCTTATTTAAGTGAGAAGATTTTCACCAAAACTGTCTACTTGCCTCCTACTGCAAGCTCCTTCCTCGTCCGAGTCGTTGTACTGTGATAACCATGAAATCCTTTTCTACACTCTTTACTTTCACAATAGTCCTACTCGCAGGCTCTACTGCTGCGCAGGAACCACCTCAGCCAACTTCCTATTGTAGGTACTGTACTACATACACTACGTACGAGAACACGCGCACGTGTCCAAACGGTGAACAAAAGAAATGCACAGCAACATGTGATCAGGGTACAATTGCTGCAGGGAAACCTGCCTGCTGTGTATGTATTTCACATATGGAAAACTTGAATCATGCTAACATATACACGTAGACAATTGCTTGTTAAGAAAAAAACGCAGCTGGCTAAAGTCTTGCCCGAAGTTGCGGTGAGATTGAGTTCAGAGTGCGTTGAGATACGAGAGTAGTTGAAGGTCGTGCCCACAACGCTCCAATCATCGTTTTGATTGCAATAGCATTAGAGGCCAATAACGCCGAGCCAAAAGCAAAGATGACAACATGTATCGCTGCTGAGGCGTCCAAAATCTTACATGCATTTTAAACCCCTGCACAGCTCTTGACACAGACACTTTCTTGGCGTTTATCCCTATCATTAATTATACCAAAAGATAAAAATATCTGCTTGGGGAATAGACTAATCTTGAGTGATGTATATAAATAATGTGCGTACTGGAGCGCTGCTTGTTCATTACCAACCATCCCATTTACCTCCTCCCTTCACTTCACCGTCGCAACCATGAAGCTACTCTCCGCAACTTTTCTGGCTGTCGCCCTCCTGTCGCAGCTTGCAGTAGCACAAACTTTACAAATTACTTGCGAGCAAACAGGATCCCTTGTAAACAAAATGTTTTGTGCATATACTCAAAAAGAAACCTCCTGTGTCACAACCTGCACTGCAGAGCAAGTCAGGAACAAAGCCGTAGTATCTTGTGTATGTATCTCTGCTCCAGAAATATCTGGTGAGGCTAACTTTGGCAGACTGCTTCCTGTTGATCCAACCACTCCTGCGTCAGGATCCAACAGAGACAATAAGGAGGAGGTTTAACATAGTCGGATAAAACATTGGGAGGCTACGGTAAAGGACTCGAATATTCATGGTTTGTTCGCTACTCACCTGTGGAAAGCTAGCTCCAATAATACTCACTATTCCAACTTCTCTTGCATGATGTCGTATGCACCGTCTGCACTTCTCACGCTGTCATCTCCTCTAAATTGCGCAGCAACCCATTCTTAAACCAGCCCCCGAAGATTAGAAACCCCCAACAATTCCAGTTCAAACATTGAAACATACGAAACCATCGACCCGTCGAAAAGCACGAAACTCACCTATCGCCCTACTTCCCACACCTAGCCTAGCAGCAAATAACAACGAAAGAAGAAGAAAAACACTAAGTGTTAATTCACCTCATAATCAACCTATCACCAACACCCAACTAAACGAAGCTAAAACAGAAATTCCCCGAAGATAACCCTAATCCCACTACCCACCGGCCCACCAACCACCTCGCTTCACCACACCTATCTTAGAACGCCCCTCCCCCTCCTCCACTCCACCAAAAAAAAA